CTCTCCTTCGAGTGTCCCAACCGCAGCGACTCCGACAACGACGATGCTAAGGGAGGCCGTGGGAGGTCTGGCAGCCGTCGTCCTCATCGTGGAGGCAACCAACCGCGCAAGGAGAAGCAGTCGACCAAGACATCGACCTCGGCGAAGGACGCCGACTCCGTTGCAGGCGGCAAGGGGCGAGACGACAAAACGGCGTCGTGCTCGCTGGTCGGCGTCGTGGAGCCGACCATCTCTCTGGCGCCGGAGGCCGGAGAGGACTTCCAAGCGGTGGCGGCAGCTGTGCAGGCGAACCCGGCGGTGGTCCTGCTCGACAGTGGTTGCTCCCACCACCTGATGGGGACGAAGGAAGCCTTCGTCGACTTGCAGCCGAGTGGAGCCATCAGGCATGTGCGCGGCTTCAATGGGGCGCTGCAGGATGTCCAGGGCTGCGGCACCATCTCCTTGCAAGGAGAGGCCGGGAAGGAGGTGCTCATCCCCGACGTGTTGTACGTCCCGGGTGTGGGAGCCAACCTGCTGTCGGCCGGCCGGCTGAAGGAGCATGGTGTGAAGCTGCAGGAGGACGGAGACGGCATGCTGCTCGTCTCGGCAGCAGGGGAGGTGCTCGGGCGAGCGACGTACTCTGGGCGAGTCCTCTGCACCGACCTGCGTCCCTGCGCGACGAGGTCGACGCCGCCCATGACGGAGGTGGTGGCTCTGCGGGCGATCGTCTCGAAGGCGAAGTCGACGCCGGACCGGATGCATGCGAGGCTTGCGCACGTCGGCATGGACACCATACGGAGCTCGGCGAAGAACGAGGTCGCCATTGGGCTGGACCTCAAGTCGGCGACGGACGCCGACTCCCCGTGTGTCTCGTGCGTTGGTGGGAAACTGGCGCGGCACACCTTCCCCGACCAAGGCTCCGACGCCGACGACGTGCTGGCCGTCGTGCACATCGACCTGTGCGGGCCGTTTCGTGTGGCTGCCAAGGACGGCAGCCTGTACTTCTTGCTGCTGAAGGACCGCAAGACCCGCTACGTGTGGGTGAAGCCGGTCGCCAAGAAGTCCGATGCGTTGCAGGCGTTCGTACAGTGGCTGGCGGTGGCTGAGCGGCAGACGAGGAAGTCGGTGTTGATGCTGCGCTCAGACCGGGGAGGGGAGTTCCTCGGGAAGCAGTTCACCGACTTCGTGAACGACAAGGGGATCGTCCACGACCTGACCAGCCCATATACCCCGCAGCAAAACGGCATGGCAGAGCGGGAGATGAGGACGGTGGTAGAGTCGGTGCGGACAATGCTGCTGCACATGGGCGTGCAGCACCACTGGTGGCACCTCGCTCTGCGGCAGGCCGTCTGGGTCCGCAACTGCCTGGAGAGGTCGACGCTGCCGCCGGGGACGACGCCGTACCAGCTGCTGACAGGGAAGAAGCCCGACTTGTCGCTGGCGCGGGTGTGGGGCTGCATGGCGCAGTTTCTTGTCCCTGAGCCGCAGCGTGGTGGGAAGCTGAAGCCGAAGGCCAGGTGGGGCCTGCACCTTGGCGTGTCGGCGGCGAGCAAGGGCTGGGAGCTCCTCGACGTCGACACCGACCGAGTGGTCACCACGTCGGACGTGGTGTTCTACGAGGAAATGTCGCTGGCCGAGTGGAAGACTGAGCATGGACCGGTACCCGGCCGCTCGCCGTCCACCTTGCCCTCTGACACCTCGTCGGCGACGCTGCCGCTGCTTGCCGAGGTCGGTGAGCTTGCTACTGAGGACGTCGAGGACGTCCGCTCCTCTACCCCTCTCCCTCTGACTCCTGCCCCTCCCCTCGTGGCCGACCTTCGTGGGCTGACCTCGGTGTCGGCCTTCGGCGATGAGGGGAGTAGTGGGACGCCGCCTTCGGCGCCGGCCAAGTGCATCGCCGGCGGCCGACTTGACGAGCGGCGAATCGATGTGGGATTGCAGTCGACAGGGGAGCAGCAGCCGACAAGGGAGCAGGCTGCCGTGAAGCCGACCACGGAGCAGTCGGCGACCGGGACGTCGGCAGGGGAGCCGACCACAGGGGAGAAGTCGGCTGGGAAGCCGACCACAGTGGAGCAGTCGGCTGGGACGCCGGCTGAGGAGCAGCAGGACGCCGAGGGCAGCGACGACAGTGACGATGGAGGGGACGCCGCGGCGGTCCAGCAGGGACCACGGCGTTCCGGCCGACTTCGAAGGCCGCCTGACTTCTTCGTCCCCGCTGCCTTCACCACGGTGTATGACGTGGACGATGACGACGACCTGCTGTACGACGACGCCGAGGAGGATGAGGAGTTTCCGGAGCTCGACCCCGACATGCTAGCCGACCCCGAGCACCGTTGGGACATCTCGACGATGACAGTGAAGGAGGCGTTGGTGAGCTGGAAGGGCCCGGCGGTGAAGGCCGCCATGGAGGAGGAGATCCGCAGCCTCATCAACATGGGCACTTGGGAGCTGGTCGAACGCCCGCCGGGGGTAAACGTCATGAAGAACCGGTGGGTGTTGACGACGAAGTACCACATTGACGACACCGTCGAACGAGAAAAGGCGAGGCTGGTCGTAAAGGGCTTCACACAGGTGTATGGCGCCGACTACGACGAGACGTTCGCGCCGGTGAGCAGCTACGTGACGCTGAGGATTTTCCTCAGCATTGTCGCTGTCCTCGACCTCAACCTGATGCAGCTCGACATGAAGAATGCCTTCCTGCAGAGCAAGCTCGATCGGGTACTGTACATGTCTCAGCCGGACTACTTCAACGACGGAACCGCCCGGGTGTGTAAGCTACTGAAGAGCCTGCACGGGCTGAAGCAGTCGCCGCTGTTGTGGTACTTGGCGCTCAACGATGTGCTGGTTGGCGCCGGGTGGAAGAAGAGCCATGTTGACGAGGCTCTTTACTGCAAAGTCGGCGAGGGTGAGGTAGTCTGCTGGGTGCTGGTCTACGTCGACGACCTGCTTGCCGCCAGCAGCAGCGCCATGATGCTGACGGAGCTGAGGGAGCTGCTGGAAGCCGCCTTCGAGCTGCGCGAGATCTCGCCGGTTCAGAAGTACCTCGGGCTCGAGATCGTACGCGATAGGTCGGCGGGGAAGCTGTGGCTGCACCAGCAGGGCTACGCCGACAAGCTGCGTTGGCGCTTCCTCGACGGGGAGCAGAACGGGCGCACCCCGAAGACGCCGGTCTCGGTCGGTGCCTACGCCGAGCTCACCTTCGATGACGAGGAGGCGCGGGAACGTCAGGAGGAGGAGTACCGGCAGAAGGTCGGCTCGCTGCAGTTCGCGGCGACGACGACGAGGCCGGACGTCGCCTTCGCATGCAGCAAGCTGGGGAGCGGCCTCACGGTGAGGAGCGACCAGCACTGGCACGAGGTCGATCGCTGCCTCGCCTACCTCGCCAACACACGCGACACCGCCCTGGAGTTCGGCGGTGGACCTCAGTCGCTGGAGCTGGTCGGCTACGTGGACGCCGACGACGCCGGTGACAAGCAGAACAGGATGAGCACGAGCGGCTACGTGTTCGTCTACGGAGGGGCTGCAGTCTCCTGGTCGAGCCAGCGCATCAAGTGCGCGACGCTGTCGTCGACCGAGTCGGAGTACGTGGCGGCCACTGAAGCTGGCAAGGAGGGACGCCGCCTTCGCTTCCTCCTCGCCGAGTTCCGGCAACTCGACGCCGGGAAGCCGACTGTCCTGCGTGTGGACAACAAGTCGGCCATCACGGTTGCCGAGGGCATGGGGTTGATGGGCAACCTCAAGCACATGGAGCGGCGACAGGCCTGGCTGCAGCACATGGTGAGGCGCGCGAAGTTCTCGCTGCAGTACATCCGGACCGCTGAGCAGCCGGCCGACTTCCTGACGAAGGCGATGCACTATCCGGCCTTCAACCGGTGCTCCGTCGCAATCGGCCAAGTGCGCTTGGCCGACGTGGGCGACGGCGACAACGACGTGCAGTAGTAGGTGCCATGCCCTTTTGCATGGCTGGTGCGGTGGACGACGTGCTATGTGTTGGGTGCACGTCGACGAGCTAGTCTCCGAACTGTACTGCCGTGTGGGCTGGGTGCCCAAGCGTGAACGCGGCAGGGGAGTGTCAACGGGAGTTGTATGTTGGCCCCGTCCACGCCTGGGCGGAGCCGACTTCGTGGTCGGGTGTAGGGTGCAGCCGACCTGCAGCAGTGGGCGAGTTGGTCGACGAGGTTAGTCGACCTGCACGGGGAGCCACTGCATGGGCGCCGACTTCAGGAGGGCGCCAACTTTGTCTGGTCGACCCGGGACGCCGACCAGACCTTCTGGTCGACCTGGGACGTCGACCAGACCATCCTGGTCGACCTGGGAAGTCGACCAGCCCTTCTGGTCGACCAGGAGTGACGTCGACTTGGAGCTGGTCGACCAGGGAGTAGTGGTCGACCTGAGGAGGTCGACTTGGGGTGGTCGTCGACTTGGGAGGTCGACGGGCACGTGCAAGAGCTGCTGGTCGACGTGGTTGCCCGGTCGACCAGGTTACCTGGGTGACGAAGTGCTGCGGAGAAGTGCGACGGTCGCCCAGGCAAAGGTGGCGAACACGACCACGGTGGTGGTATCCCGAGGTCGTCGTGGCGGACCAGAGGTAGTCGTCAGCTCGAGGTTGACGTGGAGTGTGCGCTGTGCAGGTGACGGGACTCTGCACGCCAATCAGCTACGCACACCTGCGAGGCGGGTGCACTGCTGTCCTGCGTGAGCAACGCTGGCACGCCGTCAACCTGCGACGTTGGCACGCCGTCGACCTTGCCTTGCTGGAGTGCGGTCGACCAAGTCGTGCTGGAACGCGGTCGACCAAGCTGCGCTGGCAGTTGGCCGACCTGAATGCTTGCTCTGACGTAGTCATGCTATGCCAACTTCATTGTACCAATTATTCTGAACTTTTCCTAGTGAAACTCTTGCCAACTTTCCCCGTGAACTAGCAAGTAGTGTGTGCACAAGGAAAACGACTGAGGAACAGAGAACGCAGAGATCACACGAGCACACGTGCCTAGCCCGTAGCCTAGCTCCCGTTGCTGTAGTTATCTCCGCATAGATAACAACGTGGCGACTGTAAAGGCGAAGTCAGTGGCACCCACGCCACTCACATACATGCCCTTGGGAATATTCCTGCCTTCCTTGTTGCCCCGGCAGCCAAGCCCATCAATACTGCCGCTGCCACCACCGCTGCCACCACCGCTGCCGCCGCCCATCTGGCAGTGGATGCACCCAAACTGCCTCCATTCCGCTCCTCCACGCTCCAAAATCCAAGCCATGCCATCCACATACCTGTCCCACACACGCCCCTTCAAATGCTTCTTCCAATCCCCATCCTTCCCATCCCTGCCACCTTTCTTCTCCCCTGCAGTACCCTTTCCGCCATCACCTACTCCCCTCTTCTCAATTTCCCTATTTTGCGTCTTCTGAAAAGTATTTCCTTCAGCTCCCTCCTTCCTCTTCGCATGCGCCTTCTCCAGCCCGCCTGACAGCACATGCTACACAAAGAACCCAAACCCTTCCTTCAGTTCAGCACTCTCCTTCACCCCCAGCACCTGCACTAGCATGGAAGCCAAGCAGTCCAGCTGTTCTTGACGAGTGACACCCAGTACGATTGCCATGCGCGGATAGTTTGTACCAGAGAGCTCCTTCTGAGCCTTCCATAGAGTCACAATGCATGGGGAGCTCGCTACAAGCACGAGGAAGGCACCAAAGCTGATCGCACGGCGGTATCTGGCCCAGCATTTGTTGCAGCGCCAGCAGCAGGACCACATTGCAGAAGCAACTGCAGGTTCAGCTAGAGAAAGAGAAGGAGGACTGGAAGCAGCAGGAGCAGGGGCAGGTGCATCACAATCGCGAGTCAGAAGAATGGCAGGGAGGTAGGATCTCAACCTCCCCAGGTCCATGAGCACACCCACACGAGGCTCAGCCATCCACTCGAGAATCATTGCTTCTGCACATTGTAAAGGCGCGAATGCTGCCTTCCTCTTCAGCTCCTCCACCGCTGCCATCCCCTGCAGGCGTTCAGACTCCCGCACTGGATACCTCATCTCCCACTTGAGCTCGGACCAGGATGCACGGGGATGTGGATGAGCAGGGACGTAATCAGAAAGCGAGTTCTTCATTTCACGGCGAAAGCTACTAAGGTCGGCCATGTCGAGAGCGCACTGTGCGCGGCTGCTCACTGCCCGGTCGAAGCAGCACTCGCATGCCTTCAGATCCCAGCCACCTCTCACGTCCAAGTAATGAACCATGTCCGCTCGAGACAGAAGTCGAAACGTCTCTCGTGCTCCATAATCCTCCATTCCCTATGCTCCATCCACTAATGTTTGCTCCTCTTCCTGAACCAGTCCTTCGCAATCGCTTGGAAATTGGAGCTTCTCTAGTCTCTCCATCAAACGAGACTCCTCCCTACTGTCTTCAGAGCCACTCGCTCGTCATCAACCCTGGTCGTGTCAGTCATACAATCCACATGGATCAAAGATGCCAATGAAGCGAGAGAAGGTTCAGAATCCACAGAGTTGATCGAAGCGACAGTAGGCACTGACGCCTGAGCCTTTCCTAACCCCCTACCGCCTTCTTCTCTTTCCATCTGCCCGTTCTCATCCTCTTCCCCGATTCTAGAAACGTTGTGATTCCGTTTGCTGCAGTCAATAGAGCTTGGTGATAGCAGCAGCAAGAGGAGCAGCCGCATCACGAAGCGCAGGAGCTGCAGGTGCTGCAACTGGAGTAGGAAATGTGGGAGGAGGAACAGCAGGAGCAGCTGCAGGAACCACAACAGCAACAGGCGAAACGGTGGTAACAACACTAGGAGCAGCTGCAGGTCCAATCACATCCTGTTTAGCTTTAGCCTTGACCTTATCCAGTCCGTCTATATGCACAGCTTTCACGGGAAGCACCTTGATAATTGAAGTCGAATTGAGCTTCGCTTGTTCTACGGTTGAATCAGGCGAGAGGTAAACAACCTGGCCAAGAACCATGAAATGGACCTTGTCAGAATCCCAACCACTAGACCATTGGGATAAAATGGCTTGTTTCAGTAGCGGGTCAGTGCGCCCATAACCCCCCAGGCAAACGCGCCTGTAACCCCCCCTAGGATCGATCGGGGATCTCACACTGTAGCTCTACTAACACCCCCCCACACTGGGAGGCCCAGGACTGAGCAAAGTGGCAACAGCCAACATATGCATACACCGGGATTCGAACCCGAGACCGCTCTGATACCATGTCAGAATCCCAACCACTAGACCATTGGGATAAAAGGGCTTGTTTCAGCAGCGGGTCAGTGCGCCCATAAACCCCAGGAAAACGCGCCTGTAACCCCCCCTAGGATCGATCGGGGATCTCACAGTGTAGCTCTACTAACAGACCTGCTAGGTCCGAGCCGCTGACTGACTTTCCTCCAGCTCTCTCTCGCTGTCTAATGAACGTTCTTGTGCTTCGCATGGTAAGCAGCAGTTTCATCGGAACCTATACCTGTGTGTCAATCCAGATGCCATCCATTCCCTTGAGGTTTGAATGACATCGCTGGGGCGATTTTTGCGATGCCTGGGATTGGCGTATTGCAATACACACTTACAGCGTGTCACCTGCAACTTGAATTCGTCATCCCACGCGGCATCATTCCCAACCCCTGCTTTTCCCTCCACAATCGAACTCGATATTTTCCAAAGCGTGCAGTCACTGTACATACCCAATTGCGGAAAACAACCTGTACTTTTTATTTTCCGGGTCCTGAGTTTCGGGTTGCAGCAAAACATTTGTGAATGAATCGAAGCGTGACTGTTCGCCATAGAGTGACTCGACATTTTCCCACATAAGCCTACTGAATAGATTGTGAAATGTAATTGTTGAAGCAAATGTTTTCGTACGCAAAATAAGGTTTGCTTACAACGAATCACGAGCGCGGCTGCGCTACAATAACTGAGTGGTTACCGATTGTTGCTAATTAGTATGATTTTGTTACGTTACATCGGTAATCTTAATTGTACAATTAATTTTGATATATGCACTCGATTACATCACTATTGAATGGGCTATTTTTTGATGGTGGCATCAGGTTTGATTTTGGCATTCCGTGTTTGCTTTACAAAATACAGAATATAGCATTAAAATTAACCTTCACAGGATAGAAAACGCTTATTGGTCTTTCTGTCATATACACGGCATTACATGACATGGAAATAGTGATGTTAAATAAAAAAGGGTTAAATACATTATAGAACTCGTGAATAATTACAGGACCCAGCATAAATCCTGCATTCCGGAATACCAGCACAAGATACGTGCACAATCCTGCACATGATATCAGCGTACATGATTACACGACATGCAAAAAGAACAAACGATAAGAAAAAAGAAACACCACTGCAAGAGTTAAACCAGTTACCGAACCTTAGCGTCGATATGAAGCATCTGGGTCAAAGTGACCAGTCATAACGTTGTGAGTAGCAACCAATAGTGCGAAAGTGCTCATAATTACGAAACCTGCAAAAGAACAAACAAATATAAAAATTTCAGGCACACCACGGGACGAGACGCCCACGAAGACCGACAACAATAATTCCTGTATAGTAGAGGGAGACAGACAACGCAAGTAAAAAGAAGAGACATCGTGTCGGGAAGGCGCATGAAGTAAAAGGAAAAGCAGGATCATACCGTGCAGCGTTGCGCGACAATTCAGTAAACATCACGGTCATGCCAAGCCCTACCTACTAATGACGACTTCCAAAAGACGGATGATTCCCTGCAACGAAGGTATTAGCGAGTACATTAGAGAGACGCAAAAGAAAAAGGGTCGAAGGTATGCAGAAGGCGAGCGCGAAAAAATAAATATGCATCAGTCTCTATAGCTGCTGCTGCGATTGGCGCTGGCGCTGGCGCTGGCCCTGGAGCTGACATCAGAAACGAAGAGATCGCAGAAATGGCAGGGTTTCAGTCGCACCAACACGTCGCTGTGAGGGCGACAGATCCGTCGTTCCCATGGGCGAAACGTGAGCGACGGATGGAGTTTCATTGAGACACACAGAAACGAAGAGATGGCAAAAATGGTGAGTTCTCTAAAGGGAGAGCTGAAGCTCTTTCGAAGTCAAGGGAGCAAGAAACTGGGCGGTTGTGCTCCAGCGAGGCGGTGAGCAGAGCACTTCCCTGCTGGTGCACAACGAAGCACCAACTGCGAAGATTGTGATTCGTGCACCAGCAAAGCACCAACAAGAGCACTTCACTTTGCAACGTAGCAACGATTGTGATTCGTCGCCTCGAAGGATCACCCGCCGCTACCTCTCATATCGCCAGGGAAGGATGTGCATCAGCTGCGGTGTCAAAGGCCTGAGCAAGGATTGGCTGCAAATATATTTGCCGCGACAGCTGCCAAGTGTAACCTTCAGAAAAGTGCAGCACCATTGGTCCAGCGTGGCAGAATTCGATAATGGTTACACCCACCACACGTTGCCATGTGATTTGGTGTAACCACTCATCATGCTCCCATAAGACGGTCGAAAACACACTGGGTGGGAACCGATAAAATAATTAGGACGCGCCCCCTCTGGCCGATCGTGCAAAAATCGATCTTCGACCGCAACCAACTCCCGCGTATTGAGTTTAAACCATCTGGCGGGTTTTATTAACCACGATAAAAAACGATCCTGTGTCTGATCTCTCGCAGGATCGCCATCGAGGGGACGCGTCCTTAGAGTTCTGTCATCAGTAACAAGCAGAACAGATTACATTTCAGAAAGTGTCTCATAGACATGCCATATTGGAAGCCACTGTCAGACTTATATGATCTAGCCTGTGTAGGCTGTAGCGGGTTAGATACTAAGGGGTACACAATTCTAGGGTTTCATATTTGTATCACACTCATTCCTTAGTCAATCATTCCTCATTCTTTCACATGGTATAGAGCAGGTTCCCTAGTGGGAACTGTCAGAATATTATAGCTTACTTATTTGTGTAGGCTATAGTGGGGTATCCCATAGGGGGTACAACCCAACTAGGGTTTCCTATTTGTACTCACTTTGTTCATAGTCATTTCATTCTCGTTCTAACTTTCTCATGGTATCGAGCAGGTTCCCCCGTGGGAACTGTGCTTAGGGCCCACCACATCGAACTTTTTTTCTGCCCGGAGCGCACTCCGGGCCCTTGCTCTTACTTTTTTTTCGATATGCCATACGGCCCGAGCGCCGCCTTAGCGCGCCGCCCGCCCTAGCAGCCCGAGCGCCGCCTTAGCGCCCGCGACCCGCTGCCCGCCCTAGCGCCCTAGCGCCCTAGCGCCCGCGCGCTGCCCAGAGCCGCCCGTGCGCCACCCAGAGCCGCCCGTGCGCTAGCCGCCCGACGCGCCAGCCGCCCGACGCCCGCTAGCCGCCCGACGCCCGCTAGCCGCCCGACGCCCGCTAGCCGCCCGGCGCCCACTAGCCGCCCGTCGCCTGCGCGCCGCCCGACGCCCGCTAGCCGCCCGTGGGCTGCCCGTGCGTCGCCCTCAGCAGCCCGACGCGCCGCCCGTGCAGCCGCCCGTACAGCCGTCCGTGCAGCCGCCCGTGAACCGCCCGTGCAGCCACCCGTGCACCCGCCCGTGCTGCCGCCCGACGCGCCACCCGTGCAGCCGCCCGTGAGCCACCTGTGCACCGCCCGTGCAACCGCCCGTGCAGCCGCCCGTGCGCCGTCCGTGCAGCAACCCCACGAGCCGCCCGTGAGCCGCCCGAGCCGCCCGTGAGCCGCCCGTGAGCTGCCCGCCACGACGCCCGCGCCGCCCGTGAGCCCCAGCGTCACCCGAGCAGCAGAGCCGCCCGAGCCGCCCGTGCTGCTGCGTGCCCGAGCCGCCCTAGCCGCCCGAGCCGCCCGAGTCGCCCGAGCCGCCCGAGCCGCCCGAGCCGCCCGAGCCGCGCGAGCCGTCTGAGGTGCCGAGCTCCTGCTCCTGTGGAGCTGCTACTGCTCCTGGGCCGGCGGAGTTGGTGTGTTGCTGTGTTGCTGTGCTACTGAGCGACCCGACCCTTCCTGTCCGGTGAGACTGTCAGCTACTATCATGGCCACCCCCAGTGTCCTGGCTTTTGACGCTGAGGGTCGCGCCATCGACTTTGCGGTCTGGGTCGACGACCTGCAGCTGTACTTGCTTTGCGATACGGTAGATGAAGTTTCTCTCTTTGACTTTGTCTCTGGCGCTGTACCTGCCCCTCCTGCTGATGCTGACCCCGCTGTGCGCTCCAAGTGGGCCTCACGCGATGCTGCTGCACGTCTTGCTGTGCGTCGCCACCTCCCT